GGCATGCCTTCCTTAGCCAAAAACCAGCACAATGGAACAAACATGGCTATTGGCGCGTCAGCCTTGCAGATGAAGAGCGCGATGTGGAGGCAGCGGATGATGTGCCGTGTAGCTGCGTCGGTGCTCTGCCACCTTGTTAGTGTGACTTGCTTAGCCTTTTCCGAGTCTGCTTTGCCCTCGTTTTCCAAGGCCTGTTTGTGGGCTCTGCTGGATGTGTGCGCGCGGATGCTCCCTAGCTGCATGTCTCGCGCCCCCTCACCTCTGACGCCGTAGGCAGTGTGCGCGTTTGAATCTCCGTGCTTGATGCAGATGGCACATTTCAATGACGGCCTGCCGTTAGTCATACGCATTAAGCGAAGCCAGCTGAATTTACCAGACCATTGGGAATCGAAAGTTGCCTTTACCGCTTCGTACTCAGCTTCTGCTGCAGCTGAAGGCTTCGGCTCGGCAGGAGCAGCACGGCGTGGTGGTGATGCCGCTTGTCGTGTAGGAGGGGCGCCCCAGAGCGTCTGCTGCTTGTATGTCCCGCCCACACGCTGTCGCTTCACGGGCGCTGAGCTAATTGTGGACGGGGCTGCAGTGGCTGGCTTCGACGGGCCTTCGCCGCCATCTGGAACAAGCTCGACAGACGGGTGTGGCCCCCGGGACTTTGGCGAGGTTGAGCGCTCGCACGGGAAAACGGTGCCGACAAGACATTCAGGGGATGCCTCACGCGCAGGCTGAGAGATAGGAACGCTATAGCTCTCAGCCAGCCGAGGTAACACACCGAGAACGGAGAGACCGTTCCTGGTGCTACCAGGCGGATCTGGCTCTGAGGCAGGCATTCGGAACAACAAACGAGAGGGAAGCGAGAGAATGGCGAGAGTCTGAGAGACCCCTTGGGAATCACAAAGCCTAAGGGGCCTCAAGCAGCACGGTTCCCGCTCTGGTAGGGAACTGCATGGCATAGGATGCAAGGCCACAATGACTGCCAGGTGGTGGAAACGACAGCACGTACCCCACCTGGCGCGCAATTTGGCAACGTTGGCGGGTGCGCTGGCTTCGATGTTGCTCAACGGACCAATCGTAGGTGTGCGCGGGCATCCCTACTGAACTTGCGTTGGCGCGCCAGAGGGTGTATCGAACAAATGGTCCAGTGGGACCGTGGTGCATTTTGTCGTGGCGCGTACTGTGGCGGAATCCGCGTTTCAGCAGAGTTCCGGTAAAAGGGTAGTTGAACCCCTACCTTGATACAGTCAGTGTAACAAAAAAAACTACAAGAGTACTTTTCAGCGTATCCTGATTTCACTAGGGTAAAAATCTCCATACCCTGATTTCAAAAGGGTAACAGCGAAAAAGTGGCCTATCATCAGGGCAAAAAGGGTAAAATACCCTTGAATTTTGGGCCCTGGTTCCCATTAGAAATTGCGTTACCATTAGAGAGGGCGTTACCATAAGAGAGGGCGTTACCATTAGAGGGGCGTTACCATTAAAGAGGGCGTTACCATTACAGAGGGCGTTACCATTAGAGAGGGCGTTACCATTAAAGAGGGCATTACCATTAGAGAGGGCGTTACCATTAGAGAGGGCGTTACCATTAGAGAGGGCATTACCATTAGAGAGGGCGCTACCATTAGAGAGGGCGTTACCATTAGAGAGGCCGTTACCATTAGAGAGGGCGTTACCATTAGAGAGGGCATTACCATTAGAGAGGGCGCTACCATTAGAGAGGGCGTTACCATTAGAGAGGCCGTTACCATTAGAGAAGCCGTTACTATTAAAGAGGCCGTTACCATTAGAGAGGCGGTACAATTAGAGAGGCCGTTACCATTAGAGAGGCCGTTACCATTAGAGAGAGCGTTACCATTAGAGACGTCGTTACCATTAAAGATGCCGTTACCATTAGAGAGGGCGTTACATTAGAGAGGGCGTTACCATTAGAGAGACTGTTACCATTAGAGAGACCGTCACCATTAGAGAGGCCGTTACCATTAGAGAGGTTAGAGAGGTCGTTACCATTAGAGAGGGCATTACCATTAGAGAGGGCGCTACCATTAGAGAGGGCGTTACTATTAGAGAGTGCGTTACCATGAGAAAAGGCGTTACCATTAGAGAGGGCGTTACCATTAGAGAGGGTGTTACCATTAGAGAGGGGGTTACCACTAGAGAGGGCGTCAGCATTAGAGAGGGCGTCACCATTAGAGAAGGCGTTACCATTAGAGAGAGCGTTACCATTAGAGAGGGCGTTACCATTAGAGAGGGCGTTACCATTAGAGAGGGCGTTACCATTAGAGAGGGCGCTAACATTAGAGAGGGCGCTACCATTAGAGAGGGCGTTACCATTAGAGAGGCCGTTACCATTCGAGAAGCCGTTACTATTAAAGAGGCCGCTACCATTAGAGAGGGCGCTACCATTAGAGAGGGCGCTACCATTAGAGAGGGCGTTACCATTAGAGAGGCGTTACCATTAGAGAGGGCGTTACCATTAGAGAGAGGGCGCTACCATTAGAGAGGGCGTTACCATTAGAGAGGGCGTTACCATTAGAGAGGGCGCTACCATTAGAGAGGGCGCTACCATTAGAGAGGGCGCTACCATTAGAGAGGGCGCTACCATTAGAGAGGGCGTTACCATTAGAGAGGGCGTTACCATTAGAGAGGGCGTTACCATTAGAGAGGGCGTTACCCTAAGAGAGGCCGTTACCATTAGAGAGGCCGTTACCATTAAAGAGGTCGTTACCATTAGAGAGGGCGTTACCATTAGAGGGGCGTTACCATTAGAGAGGGCGTTACCATTAGAGAGGGCGTTACCATTAGAGGGGAGTTACCATTAGAGAGGGCGTTACCATTAGAGAGGGCGTTACCATTAGAGAGAGCGTTACCATTAAAGTGGGCGTTACCATTACAGAGGGCGTTACCATTAGAGAGGGCGTTACCATTAAAGAGGGCGTTACCATTAGAGAGGGCGTTACCATTAGAGAGGGCGTTACCATTAGAGAGGGCATTACCATTAGAGAGGGCGCTACCATTAGAGAGGGCGTTACAATTAGAGAGGCCGTTACCATTAGAGAAGCCGTTATCATTAGAGAGGGCGTTACCATTAGAGAGGGCGTTACCATTAGAGAGGGCGTTACCATTAGAGAGGCCGTTACCATTAGAGAGGCCGTTACCATTAGAGAGGGCGTTACCATTAGAGAGGCCGTTACCATTAGAGATGACGTTACCATTAGAGAGGTCGTTACCATTAGAAATGGCGTTACCACTAGAGAGGGCGTTACTATTAGAGAGGGCGTTACCATTAGAGAGGGCGTTACCATTAGAGAGGGCGATACCATTAGAGAGGGCGTTACCATTAGAGAGGCGTTACCATTAGAGAGGGCGTTACCATTAGAGAGAGGGCGCTACCATTAGAGAGGGCGTTACCATTAGAGAGGGCGTTACCATTAGAGAGGGCGCTACCATTAGAGAGGGCGCTACCATTAGAGAGGGCGCTACCATTAGAGAGGGCGCTACCATTAGAGAGGGCGTTACCATTAGAGAGGGCGTTACCATTAGAGAGGGCGTTACCATTAGAGAGGGCGTTACCATTAGAGAGGGCGTTACCATTAGAGAGGGCGTTACCATTAGAGAGGGCGTTACCATTAGAGATGGCGTTACCATTAGAGAGGGCGCTACCATTAGAGAGGGCGTTACTATTAGAGAGGGCGTTACCATTAGAAAGGGCGTTACCATTAGAGAGGGCGTTACCATTAGAGAGGGCGTTACCATTAGAGAGGGCGTTACCATTAGAGAGGGCGTTACCATTAGAGAGGGCATTACCATTAGAGAGTGCGTTACCATTAGAGAGGCCGTTACCATTAGAAAGCCGTTACTATTAAAGAGGCCGTTACCATTAGAGAGGCGGTACAATTAGAGAGGGCGTTACCATTAGAGAGGCCGTTACCATAAGAGAGGGCGTTACCATTAGAGAGGGCGCTAACATTAGAGAGGGCGCTACCATTAGAGAGGGCGTTACCATTAGAGAGGCCGTTACCATTAGAGAAGCCGTTACTATTAAAGAGGCCGCTACCATTAGAGAGGGCGCTACCATTAGAGAGGGCGCTACCATTAGAGAGGGCGTTACCATTAGAGAGGCGTTACCATTAGAGAGGGCGTTACCATTAGAGAGAGGGCGCTACCATTAGAGAGGGCGTTACCATTAGAGAGGGCGTTACCATTAGAGAGGGCGCTACCATTAGAGAGGGCGCTACCATTAGAGAGGGCGCTACCATTAGAGAGGGCGCTACCATTAGAGAGGGCGTTACCATTAGAGAGGGCGTTACCATTAGAGAGGGCGTTACCATTAGAGAGGGCGTTACCCTAAGAGAGGCCGTTACCATTAGAGAGGCCGTTACCATTAAAGAGGTCGTTACCATTAGAGAGGGCGTTACCATTAGAGGGGCGTTACCATTAGAGAGGGCGTTACCATTAGAGAGGGCGTTACCATTAGAGGGGCGTTACCATTAGAGAGGGCGTTACCATTAGAGAGGGCGTTACCATTAGAGAGGGCGTTACCATTAAAGTGGGCGTTACCATTACAGAGGGCGTTACCATTAGAGAGGGCGTTACCATTCAAGAGGGCGTTACCATTAGAGAGGGTGTTACCATTAGAGAGGGCGTTACCATTAGAGAGGGCATTACCATTAGAGAGGGCGCTACCATTAGAGAGGGCGTTACAATTAGAGAGGCCGTTACCATTAGAGAAGCCGTTATCATTAGAGAGGGCGTTACCATTAGAGAGGGCGATACCATTAGAGAGGGCGTTACCATTAGAGAGGCCGTTACCATTAGAGAGGCCGTTACCATTAGAGAGGGCGTTACCATTAGAGAGGCCGTTACCATTAGAGATGACGTTACCATTAGAGAGGTCGTTACCATTAGAAAGGGCGTTACCACTAGAGAGGGCGTTACTATTAGAGAGGGCGGTACCATTAGAGAGGGCGTTACCATTAGAGAGGGCGATACCATTAGAGAGGGCGTTACCATTAGAGAGGCGTTACCATTAGAGAGGGCGTTACCATTAGAGAGAGGGCGCTACCATTAGAGAGGGCGTTACCATTAGAGAGGGCGTTACCATTAGAGAGGGCGCTACCATTAGAGAGGGCGCTACCATTAGAGAGGGCGCGACCATTAGAAAGGGCGCTACCATTAGAGAGGGCGTTACCATTAGAGAGGGCGTTACCATTAGAGAGGGCGTTACCATTAGAGAGGGCGTTACCATTAGAGAGGGCGTTACCATTAGAGAGGGCGTTACCATTAGAGAGGGCGTTACCATTAGAGAGGGCGTTACCATTAGAGATGGCGTTACCATTAGAGAGGGCGCTACCATTAGAGAGGGCGTTACTATTAGAGAGGGCGTTACCATTAGAAAGGGCGTTACCATTAGAGAGGGCGTTACCATTAGAGAGGGCGTTACCATTAGAGAGGGTGTTACCATTAAAGAGGGCGTTACCATTAGAGAGGGCGTTACCATAAGAGACGGCGTTACCATTAGAGAGGGCGTTACTATTAGAGAGGGCGTTACCATTAGAGAGGGCGTTACCATTAGAGAGGGCATTACCATTAGAGAGTGCGTTACCATTAGAGAGGCCGTTACCATTAGAAAGCCGTTACTATTAAAGAGGCCGTTACCATTAGAGAGGCGGTACAATTAGAGAGGGCGTTACCATTAGAGAGGCCGTTACCATTAGAGAGGGCGTTACCATTAGAGAGGGCGTTACCATTAGAGAGGGCGTTACCATTAGAGAAGACGTTACCATTAGAGAGGGCGCTACCATTAGAGAGGGCGCTACCATTAGAGAGGGCGTTACCATTAGAGATGGCGCTACCATTAGAGAGGGCGCTACCATTAGAGAGGGCGCTACCATTAGAGAGGGCGCTACCATTAGAGAGGGCGTTACCTTTAGAGAGGGCGTTACCATTAGAGAGGGCGTTACCATTAGAGAGGGCGTTACCATTAGAGAGGGCGTTACTATTAGAGAGGCGTTACTATTAAAGAGGCCGTTACCATTAAAGAGGGCGTTACCATTAGAGGGCGTTACCATTACAGAGGGCGTTACCATTAGAGAGGGCGTTACCATTAGAGAGGGCGTTACCATTAGAGAGGGCGTTACCATTAGAGAGGGCATTACCATTAGAGAGTGCGTTACCATTAGAGAGGCCGTTACCATTAGAAAGCCGTTACTATTAAAGAGGCCGTTACCATTAGAGAGGCGGTACAATTAGAGAGGGCGTTACCATTAGAGAGGCCGTTACCATTAGAGAGGGCGTTACCATTAGAGAGGGCGTTACCATTAGAGAGGGCGTTACCATTAGAGAAGACGTTACCATTAGAGAGGGCGCTACCATTAGAGAGGGCGCTACCATTAGAGAGGGCGTTACCATTAGAGATGGCGCTACCATTAGAGAGGGCGCTACCATTAGAGAGGGCGCTACCATTAGAGAGGGCGCTACCATTAGAGAGGGCGTTACCTTTAGAGAGGGCGTTACCATTAGAGAGGGCGTTACCATTAGAGAGGGCGTTACCATTAGAGAGGGCGTTACTATTAGAGAGGCGTTACTATTAAAGAGGCCGTTACCATTAGAGAGGGCGTTACCATTAGAGGGCGTTACCATTACAGAGGGCGTTACCATTAGAGAGGGCGTTACCATTAGAGAGGGCGTTACCATTAGAGAGGGCGTCACCATTAGAGAGGGCGTCACCATTAGAGAGTGCGTCACCATTAAAGAGGGCGTTACCATTAGAGAGGGCGTTACCATTAGAGAGGGCGTTACCATTAGAGAGGGCGTTACCATTAGAGAGGGCGTTACCATTAGAGAGGGCGTTACCATTAAAGAGGGCGTTACCATTAGAGAGGGCGTTACCATTAGAGAGGGCGTTACCATTAGAGGGGGCGTTACCATTAGAAATTGCGTTACCATTAGAGAGGGCGTTACCATTAGAGTGGGCGTTACCATTAGAGAGGGCGTTACCATTAGAGAGGGCGTTACCATTAGAGAGGGCGTTACCATTAGAGAGGGCGTTACCATTAAAGAGGGCGCTACCATTAGAGAGGGCGCTACCATTAGAGAGGGCGTTACCATTAGAGAGGGCGTTACTATTAGAGAGGGCGTTACCATGAGAAAGGGCGTTACCATTGGAGAGGGCGTTACCATTAGAGAGGGCGTTACCATTAGAGAGAGCGTTACCATTGGAGAGGCCGTTACCATTAGAGAGGGCGTTACCATTAGAGAGGGCGTTACCATTAGAGAGGGCGTCACCATTAGAGAGGGCGTTACCATGAGAAAGGGCGTTACTATTAGAGAGGGCGTTACTTTTAGAGATGGCGTTACCATTAGAGAGGGCGTCACCATTAGAGAAAGCGTTACCATTAGAGATGGCGTTACCATTAGAAAGGCCGTTACCATTAGAGAGGGCGTTACCATTAGGGAGGGCGTTACCATTAGAGAGGGCGTTACCATTAGAGAGGGTGTTACCATTAGAGAGGGCGTTACCATTAGAGAGGGCGTTACCATTAGAGAGGGCGTTATTATTAGAGAGGGCGTAACATTAGAGAGGGCGTTACCATTAGAAATTGCGTTACCATTAGAGAGGGCGTTACCATTAGAGAGGGCGTTACCATTAGAGAGGGCGTTACCATTAGAGAGGGCGTTACCATTAGAGAGGGCGTTACCATTAAAGAGGGCGTTACCATTAGAGGAGGCGTTACCATTAGAGAGGGCGTTACCATTAAAGAGGGCGCTACCATTAGAGAGGGCGTTACCATTAGAGAGGGCGTTACCATTAGAGAGGGCGTTACCATTAGAGAGGGCGTTACCATTAGAGAGGGCGTTACCATTAGAAATTGCGTTACCATTAGAGAGGGCGTTACCATTAGAGAGGGCGTTACCATTAGAGAGGGCGTTACCATTAGAGAGGGCGTTACCATTAGAGAGGGCGTTACCATTAGAGAGGGCGTTACCATTAGAGGGGGCGTTACCATTAGAGAGGGCGTTACCATTAAAGAGGGCGCTACCATTAGAGAGGGCGCTACCATTAGAGAGGGCGTTACCATTAGAGAGGGCGTTACTATTAGAGAGGGCGTTACCATGAGAGAGGGCGTTACCATTGGAGAGGGCGTTATCATTAGAGAGGGCGTTACCATTAGAGAGAGCGTTACCATTGGAGAGGCCGTTACCATTAGAGAGGGCGTTACCATTAGAGAGGGCGTTACCATTAGAGAGGGCGTTACCATTAGAGAGGGCGTCACCATTAGAGAGGCGTCACCATTAGAGAGGGCGTTACCATGAGAAAGGGCGTTACTATTAGAGAGGGCGTTACTTTTAGAGATGGCGTTACCATTAGAGAGGGCGTCACCATTAGAGAAAGCGTTACCATTAGAGATGGCGTTACCATTAGAAATGCCGTTACCATTAGAGAGGCCGTTACCATTAGAGAGGGCGTTACCATTAGAGAGGCCGTTACCATTAGAGATGACGTTACCATTAGAGAGGTCGTTACCATTAGAAAGGGCGTTACCACTAGAGAGGGCGTTACTATTAGAGAGGGCGTAACCATTAGAGAGGGCGTTACCATTAGAGAGGGCGATACCATTAGAGAGGGCGTTACCATTAGAGAGGCGTTACCATTAGAGAGGGCGTTACCATTAGAGAGAGGGCGCTACCATTAGAGAGGGCGTTACCATTAGAGAGGGCGTTACCATTAGAGAGGGCGCTACCATTAGAGAGGGCGCTACCATTAGAGAGGGCGCTACCATTAGAGAGGGCGCTACCATTAGAGAGAGCGTTACCATTAGAGAGGGCGTTACCATTAGAGAGGGCGTTACCATTAGAGAGGGCGTTACCATTAGAGAGGGCGTTACCATTAGAGAGGGCGTTACCATTAGAGAGGGCGTTACCATTAGAGAGGGCGTTACCATTAGAGAGGGCATTACCATTAGAGAGTGCGTTACCATTAGAGAGGCCGTTACCATTAGAAAGCCGTTACTATTAAAGAGGCCGTTACCACTAGAGAGGCGGTACAATTAGAGAGGGCGTTACCATTAGAGAGGCCGTTACCATTAGAGAGGGCGTTACCATTAGAGAGGGCGTTACCATTAGAGAGGGCGTTACCATTAGAGAAGACGTTACCATTAGAGAGGGCGCTACCATTAGAGAGGGCGCTACCATTAGAGAGGGCGTTACCATTAGAGAGGCCGTTACCATTAGAGAGGCCGTTACCATTAGAGAGGGCGTTACCATTAGAGAGGCCGTTACCATTAGAGATGACGTTACCATTAGAGAGGTCGTTACCATTAGAAAGGGCGTTACCACTAGAGAGGGCGTTACTATTAGAGAGGGCGTTACCATTAGAGAGGGCGTTACCATTAGAGAGGGCGATACCATTAGAGAGGGCGTTACCATTAGAGAGGCGTTACCAATAGAGAGGGCGTTACCATTAGAGAGAGGGCGCTACCATTAGAGAGGGCGTTACCATTAGAGAGGGCGTTACCATTAGAGAGGGCGCTACCATTAGAGAGGGCGCTACCATTAGAGAGGGCGCTACCATTAGAGAGGGCGCTACCATTAGAGAGGGCGTTACCATTAGAGAGGGCGTTACCATTAGAGAGGGCGTTACCATTAGAGAGGGCGTTACCATTAGAGAGGGCGTTACCATTAGAGACGGCGTTACCATTAGAGAGGGCGTTACCATTAGAGAGGGCGTTACCATTAGAGATGGCGTTACCATTAGAGAGGGCGCTACCATTAGAGAGGGCGTTACTATTAGAGAGGGCGTTACCATTAGAAAGGGCGTTACCATTAGAGAGGGCGTTACCATTAGAGAGGGCGTTACCATTAGAGAGGGTGTTACCATTAAAGAGGGCGTTACCATTAGAGAGGGCGTTACCATAAGAGAGGGCGTTACCATTAGAGAGGGCGTTACCATTAGAGAGGGCGTTACCATTAGAGAGGGCGTTACCATTAGAGAGGGCATTACCATTAGAGAGTGCGTTACCATTAGAGAGGCCGTTACCATTAGAAAGCCGTTACTATTAAAGAGGCCGTTACCATTAGAGAGGCGGTACAATTAGAGAGGGCGTTACCATTAGAGAGGCCGTTACCATTAGAGAGGGCGTTACCATTAGAGAGGGCGTTACCATTAGAGAGGGCGTTACCATTAGAGAAGACGTTACCATTAGAGAGGGCGCTACCATTAGAGAGGGCGCTACCATTAGAGAGGGCGTTACCATTAGAGAGGGCGCTACCATTAGAGAGGGCGCTACCATTAGAAAGGGCGCTACCATTAGAGAGGGCGCTACCATTAGAGAGGGCGTTACCATTAGAGAGGGCGTTACCATTAGAGAGGGCGTTGCCATTAGAGAGGGCGTTACCATTAGAGAGGGCGTTACTATTAGAGAGGCGTTACTATTAAAGAGGCCGTTACCATTAGAGAGGGCGTTACCATTACAGAGGGCGTTACCATTAGAGAGGGCGTTACCATTAGAGAGGGCGTTACCATTAGAGAGGGCGTCACCATTAGAGAGGGCGTCACCATTAGAGAGGGCGTCACCATTAAAGAGGGCGTTACCATTAGAGAGGGCGTTACCATTAGAGAGGGCGTTACCATTAGAGAGGGCGTTACCATTAGAGAGGGCGTTACCATTAGAGAGGGCGTTACCATTAAAGAGGGCGTTACCATTAGAGAGGGCGTTACCATTAGAGAGGGCGTTACCATTAGAGGGGGCGTTACCATTAGAAATTGCGTTACCATTAGAGAGGGCGTTACCATTAGAGAGGGCGTTACCATTAGAGAGGGCGTTACCATTAGAGAGGGCGTTACCATTAGAGAGGGCGTTACCATTAGAGAGGGCGTTACCATTAGAGAGGGCGTTACCATTAGAGAGGGCGTTACCATTAGAGAGGGCGTTACCATTAGAGAGGGCGTTACCATTAGAGAGGGCGTTACCATTAGAGAGGGCGTCACCATTAGAGAGGGCGTCACCATTAGAGAGGCGTCACCATTAGAGAGGGCGTTACCATGAGAAAAGGCGTTACTATTAGAGAGGGCGTTACTTTTAGAGATGGCGTTACCATTAGAGAGGGCGTCACCATTAGAGAAAGCGTTACCATTAGAGATGGCGTTACCATTAGAAAGGCCGTTACCATTAGAGAGGGCGTTACCATTAGGGAGGGCGTTACCATTAGAGAGGGCGTTACCATTAGAGAGGGTGTTACCATTAGAGAGGGCGTTACCATTAGAGAGGGCGTTACCATTAGAGAGGGCGTTATTATTAGAGAGGGCGTAACATTAGAGAGGGCGTTACCATTAGAAATTGCGTTACCATTAGAGAGGGCGTTACCATTAGAGAGGGCGTTACCATTAGAGAGGGCGTTACCATTAGAGAGGGCGTTACCATTAGAGAGGGCGTTACCATTAGAGAGGGCGTTACCATTAGAGGGGGCGTTACCATTAGAGAGGGCGTTACCATTAAAGAGGGCGCTACCATTAGAGAGGGCGTTACCATTAGAGAGGGCGTTACCATTAGAGAGGGCGTTACCATTAGAGAGGGCGTTACCATTAGAGAGGGCGTTACCATTAGAAATTGCGTTACCATTAGAGAGGGCGTTACCATGAGAAAGGGCGTTACCATTGGAGAGGGCGTTACCATTAGAGAGGGCGTTACCATTAGAGAGAGCGTTACCATTGGAGAGGCCGTTACCATTAGAGAGGGCGTTACCATTAGAGAGGGCGTTACCATTAGAGAGGGCGTTACCATTAGAGAGGGCGTCACCATTAGAGAGGCGTCACCATTAGAGAGGGCGTTACCATGAGAAAGGGCGTTACTATTAGAGAGGGCGTTACTTTTAGAGATGGCGTTACCATTAGAGAGGGCGTCACCATTAGAGAAAGCGTTACCATTAGAGATGGCGTTACCATTAGAAAGGCCGTTACCATTAGAGAGGGCGTTACCATTAGGGAGGGCGTTACCATTAGAGAGGGCGTTACCATTAGAGAGGGTGTTACCATTAGAGAGGGTGTTACCATTAGAGAGGGCGTTACCATTAGAGAGGGCGTTATTATTAGAGAGGGCGTAACATTAGAGAGGGCGTTACCATTAGAAATTGCGTTACCATTAGAGAGGGCGTTACCATTAGAGAGGGCGTTACCATTAGAGAGGGCGTTACCATTAGAGAGGGCGTTACCATTAGAGAGGGCGTTACCATTACGGAGGGCGTTACCATTAGAGGGGGCGTTACCATTAGAGAGGGCGTTACCATTAAAGAGGGCGCTACCATTAGAGAGGGCGTTACCATTAGAGAGGGCGTTACCATTAGAGAGGGCGTTACCATTAGAGAGGGCGTTACCATTAGAGAGGGCGTTACCATTAGAAATTGCGTTACCATTAGAGAGGGCGTTACCATTAGAGAGGGCGTTACCATTAGAGAGGGCGTTACCATTAGAGAGGGCGTTACCATTAGAGAGGGCGTTACCATTAGAGAGGGCGTTACCATTAGAGGGGGCGTTACCATTAGAGAGGGCGTTACCATTAAAGAGGGCGCTACCATTAGAGAGGGCGCTACCATTAGAGAGGGCGTTACCATTAGAGAGGGCGTTACTATTAGAGAGGGCGTTACCATGAGAAAGGGCGTTACCATTGGAGAGGGCGTTATCATTAGAGAGGGCGTTACCATTAGAGAGAGCGTTACCATTGGAGAGGCCGTTACCATTAGAGAGGGCGTTACCATTAGAGAGGGCGTTACCATTAGAGAGGGCGTTACCATTAGAGAGGGCGTCACCATTAGAGAGGCGTCACCATTAGAGAGGGCGTTACCATGAGAAAGGGCGTTACTATTAGAGAGGGCGTTACTTTTAGAGATGGCGTTACCATTAGAGAGGGCGTCACCATTAGAGAAAGCGTTACCATTAGAGATGGCGTCACCATTAGAAAGGCCGTTACCATTAGAGAGGGCGTTACCATTAGAGAGGGCGTTACCATTAGAGAGGGCGTTACCATTAGAGAGGGCGTTACCATTAGAGAGGGCGTTACCATTTGAGAGGGCGTTACCATTAGAGAGGGCGTTACCATTAGAGAGGGCGTTACGATTAGAGAGGGCGTTACTATTAGAGAGGCCGTTACCATTAAAGAGGGCGTTACCATTAGAGAGTGCGTTACCATTAGAGAGGGCGTTACCATTAGAGAGAGCGTTACCATTAGAGAGGGCGTTACCATTAGAGAGGGCGTCACCATTAGAGAGGGCATTACCATTAGAGAGGGCGTCACCATAAGAGAGGGCGTCACCATTAGAGAGGCGTTACCATTAGAGAGGGCGTTACCATTAGAGAGGGCGTTACCATTAAAAGGGCGTTACCATTAGAGAGGGCGTTACCATTAAAGAGGGCGTTACCATTAGAGAGGGCGTTACCATTAGAGAGGGCGTTACCATTAGAGAGGGCGTTACCATTAGAGAGGGCGTTACCATTAGGGAGGGCGTTACCATTAGAGAGGGCGTTACCATTAGAGAGGGCGTTACCATTAGAGGGGGCGTTACCATTAGAGATGGCGCTACCATTAGAGAGGGCGCTACTATTAGAGAGGGCGCTACCATTAGAGAGAGGGCGCTACCATTAGAGATGGCGTTACCATTAGAGAGGGCGCTACCATTAGAGAGGGCGCTACCATTAGAGAGGGCGCTACCATTAGAGAGGACGTTACCATTAGAGAGGACGTTACCATTAGAGAGGGCGTTACCATTAGAGAGAGCGTTACCATTAGAGAGGGCGTTACCATTAGAGAGGGCGTTACCATTAGAGAGGGCGTTACTATTAGAGAGGCCGTTACCATTAAAGAGGGCGTTACCATTAGAGAGTGCGTTACCATTAGAGAGGGCGTTACCATTAGAGAGAGCGTTACCATTAGAGAGGGCGTTACCATTAGAGAGGGCGTCACCATTAGAGAGGGCATTACCATTAGAGAGGGCGTCACCATAAGAGAGGGCGTCACCATTAGAGAGGGCGTTACCATTAGAGAGGGCGTTACCATTAGAGAGGGCGTTACCATTAAAAATGGTGTTACCATTAGAGAGGGCGTTACCATTAAAGAGGGCGTTACCATTAGAGAGGGCGTTACCATTAGAGAGGGCGTTACCATTAGAAATTGCGTTACCATTAGAGAGAGCGTTACCATTAGAGAGGGCGTTACCATTAGAGAGGGCGTTACCATTAGAGAGGGCGTTACTATTAGAGAGGCCGTTACCATTAAAGAGGGCGTTACCATTAGAGAGTGCGTTACCATTAGAGAGGGCGTTACCATTAGAGAGAGCGTTACCATTAGAGAGGGCGTTACCATTAGAGAGGGCGTCACCATTAGAGAGGGCATTACCATTAGAGAGGGCGTCACCATAAGAGAGGGCGTCACCATTAGAGAGGCGTTACCATTAGAGAGGGCGCTACCATTAGAGAGGGCGCTACCATTCGAGAGGGCGTCACCATTAGAGAGGGCGTCACCATTAGAGAGAGCGTTACCATTAGAGAGCCGTTACCATTAGAGAGGGCGTTACCATTAGAGAGGGCGTTACCATTAGAGAGGGCGTTACCATTAGAGAGGGCGTTCCCATCAGGGCCCAAAATAGGTTTTAGCTCACTCTTTCAAATCAGGGTGGTAGGCCCCCCGTACCCTGACTGTTCGGGTATTTTTTCTCGTACACTGATTGTAGCAGCCTAAAAGTTCTGGTACACTGATTTCAGCAGGGTAAAATTTCCCATACTCTGTTTCCTTCCTACGCACAAATCTTTACTACACCAACAGTTACTACTCACTAAAGTGTTGTGCACACAAGCTTCACTATCTAGATAAATAAACCATCCAAAAGCCACTAGTCAACGTCTGCTGCACTAGCAACTGCCTCGTCCGCAAATTGTGCAGTGCTGGCCTTCAAGCCTGAGAAGTCCGTGGTGGATCGCCTGAGCTTCTCACCGCGGAATATGGCGACCACCTCGTACCAGTCTATGTCGTACTGCAGGAGGGAGCACCGCATCAGGTGCTCAAGGCTTGTGTCGCCGAGGCTGCCGCGATCCCACGTCTTGATCAGGTTCTGCTTGCTGAAGCCGCGCTCACATTCAACCGTGCTCAGTGGTAGCACGGCGACAGACTGCCACATCCGGACGATGTTGGGAAACGAAGCACGCCACGCGTCGTCGCGCAGCATGTTCCCCAGAGCCTGATGAAACTCCTCGCCGTTGTGCTGGGAGAACATGGTCGAGGTAAACATCCAGAGCTCCTGGCCGGCACGCTTGTAGTCGAACCCTGGTAGTGCGGAAGGGGTTGAGGATTGGCATATGCTCATACATACGGGTAGGAGTGGGAGGCATTAGTCCAACAATACAGGGCCGGGTGATGAGCAGCAACAAGCGCAATGGGAAACAAGCTGGTGCTAAGTTGTTGCCGGGCACATCAGACAATCACGCTTACCGGGCAGCTTGTGGTTGTACAGCTTGTGGAGCTGGCCAAGCCACTTCCTGAAGGACTCCAGCCGCTTACTGTCATCGGACACATACGACGCCGTCCGAAACAGCTTGGCGCCTTCCAGGAGGTTGAGGTCGCGCATGCGCCACTCCAGCTCCTCGTCCACCTTGCGGATGAACTTGAGCGAAAGCTCAAAGCACGCGGTTACATCACCCTCAGTCTCATGGCCTGGCAGGGGGCGTTCGTGCAGGGTGAATTCGAAGGAGACGGCGTTGCCATCCGCGTCCACGCCTTCCGCTTTCATTTCACGGTTATCCAGCTTCTGGTGAGCCTTGATGAAGTCAGGCAGCTGCATCTTCTCTCCGCTGCCAAAGAAGTGACCAGGGGACCTGTCGAAGTAGCGCGTCTTCAGGCGCATCCGCGTCTGTTGTACAAGGTGCGCCACGAGGGTGACGTCCACCTGCACACATACAAAACATGAGGTCAGAACGAGAAGTACAGGCGTGCGTGTAAGTACATATTTGCTTGTCAGTGTGTTACCTGACGTTGCTGAAAGCGGAGATTGAGTTGGTTGAGCTCCCGAAGCACATCCGCGGGGAAGCGGATGACCCAGTGGAACTTGAACGAGGTGACTACCTCGTACAAGTCTTTCTTGTAATCCTTCATCACGACGATGGCTGCAGGCAGAACGTCAAGGAATCGCTGGATCGCCTCGCCACGGGAGAGCCAGCGCACGTCGTGTATGCCCTGCGCCTCTAGATTCGTCTGGCAGTAGACGCGCTGCAGATTCTGAAACTTGGTGTAATCCACGCTGCTGCGGCCGATGTGCTCAGAGAAAGCACGCACCACGTCGTCCACCATTCCGAGCTCGGGGACTGCCTCCGCGGCATCCTTAGCTGCCAATGCCTCCCTGCGCATTCAAGTAGAGCTTGTCAGAAGGTTACTTCGTCGCATATATGGTTCTTATAAAAACTCAAATTCAAACCTCCGTACCTGTGAGCGACGCAGTGAGTCGAAGCCAAGTGTGGAATGCGCAGTCTAAGCCTCGCCACGAGCCCGTTGTTCTTGCCGGTCATCACACTGGCCCCGTCCGTAGATATTCCGGAAATCTTCTGGAGATCTACCCCGATTCCTGTAAGGTACTGCACAACAGCGGAGGTTAGCGAGGCCGCATCGGCACGGTCCACGGTAATCAGAGTTAAGAACTCTGTCACCGGTGCGGTCCCTTTGAAAAATGTCGCATACAGAATCAGGTGCTTGCCATTCACCCGGTCGGTGCTCTCGTCGAGACATATCCCTATCCATGGGGATTCCAGCAGGTGGCCGCGTTGAGTCTCTTGAAGGTACGTGGAGGTGGCGCGCAGCATCTCTTTGAATCCGTAACTGCGAGGACAAAACACATGGCACACGAACACACATTGCATTAGCATCTCGTCAGCTTGAGTCATGGAACAAACACAAGCGCCAGAAACCACACTTACTCGGTGTAGTAGGCGCCGTACCCTCCAGACGGAGGAAGGTCCGGCATGCCTTCCTTAGCCAAAAACCAGCACAATGGAACAAACATGGCTATTGGCGCGTCAGCCTTGCAGATGAAGAGCGCGATGTGGAGGCAGCGGATGATGTGCCGTGTAGCTGCGTCGGTGCTCTGCCACCTTGTTAGTGTGACTTGCTTAGCCTTTTCCGAGTCTGCTTTGCCCTCGTTTTCCAAGGCCTGTTTGTGGGCTCTGCTGGATGTGTGCGCGCGGATGCTCCCTAGCTGCATGTCTCGCGCCCCCTCACCTCTGACGCCGTAGGCAGTGTGCGCGTTTGAATCTCCGTGCTTGATGCAGATGGCACATTTCAATGACGGCCTGCCGTTAGTCATACGCATTAAGCGAAGCCAGCTGAATTTACCAGACCATTGGGAATCGAAAGTTGCCTTTACCGCTTCGTACTCAGCTTCTGCTGCAGCTGAAGGCTTCGGCTCGGCAGGAGCAGCACGGCGTGGTGGTGATGCCGCTTGTCGTGTAGGAGGGGCGCCCCAGAGCGTCTGCTGCTTGTATGTCCCGCCCACACGCTGTCGCTTCACGGGCGCTGAGCTAATTGTGGACGGGGCTGCAGTGGCTGGCTTCGACGGGCCTTCGCCGCCATCTGGAACAAGCTCGACAGACGGGTGTGGCCCCCGGGACTTTGGCGAGGTTGAGCGCTCGCACGGGAAAACGGTGCCGACAAGACATTCAGGGGATGCCTCACGCGCAGGCTGAGAGATAGGAACGCTATAGCTCTCAGCCAGCCGAGGTAACACACCGAGAACGGAGAGACCGTTCCTGGTGCTACCAGGCGGATCTGGCTCTGAGGCAGGCATTCGGAACAACAAACGAGAGGGAAGCGAGAGAATGGCGAGAGTCTGAGAGACCCCTTGGGAATCACAAAGCCTAAGGGGCCTCAAGCAGCACGGTTCCCGCTCTGGTAGGGAACTGCATGGCATAGGATGCAAGGCCACAATGACTGCCAGGTGGTGGAAACGACAGCACGTACCCCACCTGGCGCGCAATTTGGCAACGTTGGCGGGTGCGCTGGCTTCGATGTTGCTCAACGGACCAATCGTAGGTGTGCGCGGGCATCCCTACTGAACTTGCGTTGGCGCGCCAGAGGGTGTATCGAACAAATGGTCCAGTGGGACCGTGGTGCATTTTGTCGTGGCGCGTACTGTGGCGGAATCCGCGTTTCAGCAGAGTTCCGGTAAAAGGGTAGTTGAACCCCTACCTTGATACAGTCAGTGTAACAAAAAAAACTACAAGAGTACTTTTCAGCGTATCCTGATTTCACTAGGGTAAAAATCTCCATACCCTGATTTCAAAAGGGTAACAGCGAAAAAGTGGCCTATCATCAGGGCAAAAAGGGTAAAATACCCTTGAATTTTGGGCCCTGGTTCCCATTAGAAATTGCGTTACCATTAGAGAGGGCGTTACCATAAGAGAGGGCGTTACCATTAGAGGGGCGTTACCATTAAAGAGGGCGTTACCATTACAGAGGGCGTTACCATTAGAGAGGGCGTTACCATTAAAGAGGGCATTACCATTAGAGAGGGCGTTACCATTAGAGAGGGCGTTACCATTAGAGAGGGCATTACCATTAGAGAGGGCGTTACCATTAGAGAGGGCGTTACCATTAGAGAGGCCGTTACCATTAGAGAGGGCGTTACCATTAGAGAGGGCATTACCATTAGAGAGGGCGCTACCATTAGAGAGGGCGTTACCATTAGAGAGGCCGTTACCATTAGAGAAGCCGTTACTATTAAAGAGGCCGTTACCATTAGAGAGGCGGTACAATTAGAGAGGCCGTTACCATTAGAGAGGCCGTTACCATTAGAGAGAGCGTTACCATTAGAGACGTCGTTACCATTAAAGATGCCGTTACCATTAGAGAGGGCGTTACATTAGAGAGGGCGTTACCATTAGAGAGACTGTTACCATTAGAGAGGCCGTCACCATTAGAGAGGCCGTTACCATTAGAGAGGTTAGAGAGGTCGTTACCATTAGAGAGGGCATTACCATTAGAGAGGGCGCTACCATTAGAGAGGGCGTTACTATTAGAGAGTGCGTTACCATGAGAAAGGGCGTTACCATTAGAGAGGGCGTTACCATTAGAGAGGGTGTTACCATTAGAGAGGGGGTTACCACTAGAGAGGGCGTCAGCATTAGAGAGGGCGTCACCATTAGAGAAGGCGTTACCATTAGAGAGAGCGTTACCATTAGAGAGGGCGTTACCATTAGAGAGGGCGTTACCATTAGAGAGGGCGTTACCATTAGAGAGGGCGCTAACATTAGAGAGGGCGCTACCATTAGAGAGGGCGTTACCATTAGAGAGGCCGTTACCATTAGAGAAGCCGTTACTATTAAAGAGGCCGCTACCATTAGAGAGGGCGCTACCATTAGAGAGGGCGCTACCATTAGAGAGGGCGTTACCATTAGAGAGGCGTTACCATTAGAGAGGGCGTTACCATTAGAGAGAGGGCGCTACCATTAGAGAGGGCGTTACCATTAGAGAGGGCGTTACCATTAGAGAGGGCGCTACCATTAGAGAGGGCGCTACCATTAGAGAGGGCGCTACCATTAGAGAGGGCGCTACCATTAGAGAGGGCGTTACCATTAGAGAGGGCGTTACCATTAGAGAGGGCGTTACCATTAGAGAGGGCGTTACCCTAAGAGAGGCCGTTACCATTAGAGAGGCCGTTACCATTAAAGAGGTCGTTACCATTAGAGAGGGCGTTACCATTAGAGGGGCGTTACCATTAGAGAGGGCGTTACCATTAGAGAGGGCGTTACCATTAGAGGGGAGTTACCATTAGAGAGGGCGTTACCATTAGAGAGGGCGTTACCATTAGAGAGAGCGTTACCATTAAAGTGGGCGTTACCATTACAGAGGGCGTTACCATTAGAGAGGGCGTTACCATTAAAGAGGGCGTTACCATTAGAGAGGGCGTTACCATTAGAGAGGGCGTTACCATTAGAGAGGGCATTACCATTAGAGAGGGCGCTACCATTAGAGAGGGCGTTACAATTAGAGAGGCCGTTACCATTAGAGAAGCCGTTATCATTAGAGAGGGCGTTACCATTAGAGAGGGCGTTACCATTAGAGAGGGCGTTACCATTAGAGAGGCCGTTACCATTAGAGAGGCCGTTACCATTAGAGAGGGCGTTACCATTAGAGAGGCCGTTACCATTAGAGATGACGTTACCATTAGAGAGGTCGTTACCATTAGAAAGGGCGTTACCACTAGAGAGGGCGTTACTATTAGAGAGGGCGTTACCATTAGAGAGGGCGTTACCATTAGAGAGGGCGATACCATTAGAGAGGGCGTTACCATTAGAGAGGCGTTACCATTAGAGAGGGCGTTACCATTAGAGAGAGGGCGCTACCATTAGAGAGGGCGTTACCATTAGAGAGGGCGTTACCATTAGAGAGGGCGCTACCATTAGAGAGGGCGCTACCATTAGAGAGGGCGCTACCATTAGAGAGGGCGCTACCATTAGAGAGGGCGTTACCATTAGAGAGGGCGTTACCATTAGAGAGGGCGTTACCATTAGAGAGGGCGTTACCATTAGAGAGGGCGTTACCATTAGAGAGGGCGTTACCATTAGAGAGGGCGTTACCATTAGAGAGGGCGTTACCATTAGAGATGGCGTTACCATTAGAGAGGGCGCTACCATTAGAGAGGGCGTTACTATTAGAGAGGGCGTTACCATTAGAAAGGGCGTTACCATTAGAGAGGGCGTTACCATTAGAGAGGGCGTTACCATTAGAGAGGGCGTTACCATTAGAGAGGGCGTTACCATTAGAGAGGGCATTACCATTAGAGAGTGCGTTACCATTAGAGAGGCCGTTACCATTAGAAAGCCGTTACTATTAAAGAGGCCGTTACCATTAGAGAGGCGGTACAATTAGAGAGGGCGTTACCATTAGAGAGGCCGTTACCATAAGAGAGGGCGTTACCATTAGAGAGGGCGCTAACATTAGAGAGGGCGCTACCATTAGAGAGGGCGTTACCATTAGAGAGGCCGTTACCATTAGAGAAGCCGTTACTATTAAAGAGGCCGCTACCATTAGAGAGGGCGCTACCATTAGAGAGGGCGCTACCATTAGAGAGGGCGTTACCATTAGAGAGGCGTTACCATTAGAGAGGGCGTTACCATTAGAGAGAGGGCGCTACCATTAGAGAGGGCGTTACCATTAGAGAGGGCGTTACCATTAGAGAGGGCGCTACCATTAGAGAGGGCGCTACCATTAGAGAGGGCGCTACCATTAGAGAGGGCGCTACCATTAGAGAGGGCGTTACCATTAGAGAGGGCGTTACCATTAGAGAGGGCGTTACCATTAGAGAGGGCGTTACCCTAAGAGAGGCCGTTACCATTAGAGAGGCCGTTACCATTAAAGAGGTCGTTACCATTAGAGAGGGCGTTACCATTAGAGGGGCGTTACCATTAGAGAGGGCGTTACCATTAGAGAGGGCGTTACCATTAGAGGGGCGTTACCATTAGAGAGGGCGTTACCATTAGAGAGGGCGTTACCATTAGAGAGGGCGTTACCATTAAAGTGGGCGTTACCATTACAGAGGGCGTTACCATTAGAGAGGGCGTTACCATTCAAGAGGGCGTTACCATTAGAGAGGGCGTTACCATTAGAGAGGGCGTTACCATTAGAGAGGGCATTACCATTAGAGAGGGCGCTACCATTAGAGAGGGCGTTACAATTAGAGAGGCCGTTACCATTAGAGAAGCCGTTATCATTAGAGAGGGCGTTACCATTAGAGAGGGCGTTACCATTAGAGAGGGCGTTACCATTAGAGAGGCCGTTACCATTAGAGAGGCCGTTACCATTAGAGAGGGCGTTACCATTAGAGAGGCCGTTACCATTAGAGATGACGTTACCATTAGAGAGGTCGTTACCATTAGAAAGGGCGTTACCACTAGAGAGGGCGTTACTATTAGAGAGGGCGGTACCATTAGAGAGGGCGTTACCATTAGAGAGGGCGATACCATTAGAGAGGGCGTTACCATTAGAGAGGCGTTACCATTAGAGAGGGCGTTACCATTAGAGAGAGGGCGCTACCATTAGAGAGGGCGTTACCATTAGAGAGGGCGTTACCATTAGAGAGGGCGCTACCATTAGAGAGGGCGCTACCATTAGAGAGGGCGCTACCATTAGAGAGGGCGCTACCATTAGAGAGGGCGTTACCATTAGAGAGGGCGTTACCATTAGAGAGGGCGTTACCATTAGAGAGGGCGTTACCATTAGAGAGGGCGTTACCATTAGAGAGGGCGTTACCATTAGAGAGGGCGTTACCATTAGAGAGGGCGTTACCATTAGAGATGGCGTTACCATTAGAGAGGGCGCTACCATTAGAGAGGGCGTTACTATTAGAGAGGGCGTTACCATTAAAAAGGGCGTTACCATTAGAGAGGGCGTTACCATTAGAGAGGGCGTTACCATTAGAGAGGGTGTTACCATTAAAGAGGGCGTTACCATTAGAGAGGGCGTTACCATAAGAGACGGCGTTACCATTAGAGAGGGCGTTACCCTTAGAGAGGGCGTTACCATTAGAGAGGGCGTTACCATTAGAGAGGGCATTACCATTAGAGAGTGCGTTACCATTAGAGAGGCCGTTACCATTAGAAAGCCGTAACTATTAAAGAGGCCGTTACCATTAGAGAGGCGGTACAATTAGAGAGGGCGTTACCATTAGAGAGGCCGTTACCATTAGAGAGGGCGTTACCATTAGAGAGGGCGTTACCATTAGAGAGGGCGTTACCATTAGAGAAGACGTTACCATTAGAGAGGGCGCTACCATTAGAGAGGGCGCTACCATTAGAGAGGGCGTTACCATTAGAGATGGCGCTACCATTAGAGAGGGCGCTACCATTAGAGAGGGCGCTACCATTAGAGAGGGCGCTACCATTAGAGAGGGCGTTACCTTTAGAGAGGGCGTTACCATTAGAGAGGGCGTTACCATTAGAGAGGGCGTTACCATTAGAGAGGGCGTTACTATTAGAGAGGCGTTACTATTAAAGAGGCCGTTACCATTAGAGAGGGCGTTACCATTAGAGGGCGTTACCATTACAGAGGGCGTTACCATTAGAGAGGGCGTTACCATTAGAGAGGGCGTTACCATTAGAGAGGGCGTCACCATTAGAGAGGGCGTCACCATTAGAGAGGGCGTCACCATTAGAGAGGGCGTTACCATTAGAGAGGGCGTTACCATTAGAGAGGGCGTTACCATTAGAGAGGGCGTTACCATTAGAGAGGGCGTTACCATTAGAGAGGGCGTTACCATTAAAGAGGGCGTTACCATTAGAGAGGGCGTTACCATAAGAGAGGGCGTTACCATTAGAGGGGGCGTTACCATTAGAAATTGCGTTACCATTAGAGAGGGCGTTACCATTAGAGTGGGCGTTACCATTAGAGAGGGCGTTACCATTAGAGAGGGCGTTACCATTAGAGAGGGCGTTACCATTAGAGAGGGCGTTAACATTAGAGAGGGCGTTACCATTAGAGAGGGCGTTACCATTAGAGAGGGCGTTACCATTAGAGAGGGCGTTACCATTAGAGAGGGCGTTACCATTAAAGAGGGCGCTACCATTAGAGAGGGCGCTACCATTAGAGAGGGCGTTACCATTAGAGAGGGCGTTACTATTAGAGAGGGCGTTACCATGAGAAAGGGCGTTACCATTGGAGAGGGCGTTACCATTAGAGAGGGCGTTACCATTAGAGAGAGCGTTACCATTGGAGAGGCCGTTACCATTAGAGAGGGCGTTACCATTAGAGAGGGCGTTACCATTAGAGAGGGCGTTACCATTAGAGAGGGCGTCACCATTAGAGAGGGCGTTACCATGAGAAAGGGCGTTACTATTAGAGAGGGCGTTACTTTTAGAGATGGCGTTACCATTAGAGAGGGCGTCACCATTAGAGAAAGCGTTACCATTAGAGATGGCGTTACCATTAGAAAGGCCGTTACCATTAGAGAGGGCGTTACCATTAGGGAGGGCGTTACCATTAGAGAGGGCGTTACCATTAGAGAGGGTGTTACCATTAGAGAGGGCGTTACCATTAGAGAGGGCGTTACCATTAGAGAGGGCGTTATTATTAGAGAGGGCGTAACATTAGAGAGGGCGTTACCATTAGAAATTGCGTTACCATTAGAGAGGGCGTTACCATTAGAGAGGGCGTTACCATTAGAGAGGGCGTTACCATTAGAGAGGGCGTTACCATTAGAGAGGGCGTTACCATTAGAGAGGGCGTTACCATTAGAGGAGGCGTTACCATTAGAGAGGGCGTTACCATTAAAGAGGGCGCTACCATTAGAGAGGGCGTTACCATTAGAGAGGGCGTTACCATTAGAGAGGGCGTTACCATTAGAGAGGGCGTTACCATTAGAGAGGGCGTTACCATTAGAAATTGCGTTACCATTAGAGAGGGCGTTACCATTAGAGAGGGCGTTACCATTAGAGAGGGCGTTACCATTAGAGAGGGCGTTACCATTAGAGAGGGCGTTACCATTAGAGAGGGCGTTACCATTAGAGGGGGCGTTACCATTAGAGAGGGCGTTACCATTAAAGAGGGCGCTACCATTAGAGAGGGCGCTACCATTAGAGAGGGCGTTACCATTAGAGAGGGCGTTACTATTAGAGAGGGCGTTACCATGAGAGAGGGCGTTACCATTGGAGAGGGCGTTATCATTAGAGAGGGCGTTACCATTAGAGAGAGCGTTACCATTGGAGAGGCCGTTACCATTAGAGAGGGCGTTACCATTAGAGAGGGCGTTACCATTAGAGAGGGCGTTACCATTAGAGAGGGCGTCACCATTAGAGAGGCGTCACCATTAGAGAGGGCGTTACCATGAGAAAGGGCGTTACTATTAGAGAGGGCGTTACTTTTAGAGATGGCGTTACCATTAGAGAGGGCGTCACCATTAGAGAAAGCGTTACCATTAGAGATGGCGTTACCATTAGAAATGCCGTTACCATTAGAGAGGCCGTTACCATTAGAGAGGGCGTTACCATTAGAGAGGCCGTTACCATTAGAGATGACGTTACCATTAGAGAGGTCGTTACCATTAGAAAGGGCGTTACCACTAGAGAGGGCGTTACTATTAGAGAGGGCGTAACCATTAGAGAGGGCGTTACCATTAGAGAGGGCGATACCATTAGAGAGGGCGTTACCATTAGAGAGGCGTTACCATTAGAGAGGGCGTTACCATTAGAGAGAGGGCGCTACCATTAGAGAGGGCGTTACCATTAGAGAGGGCGTTACCATTAGAGAGGGCGCTACCATTAGAGAGGGCGCTACCATTAGAGAGGGCGCTACCATTAGAGAGGGCGCTACCATTAGAGAGGGCGTTACCATTAGAGAGGGCGTTACCATTAGAGAGGGCGTTACCATTAGAGAGGGCGTTACCATTAGAGAGGGCGTTACCATTAGAGAGGGCGTTACCATTAGAGAGGGCGTTACCATTAGAGGGGGCGTTACCATTAGAGAGGGCGTTACCATTAAAGAGGGCGCTACCATTAGAGAGGGCGCTACTATAGAGAGGGCGTTACCATTAGAGAGGGCGTTACTATTAGAGAGGGCGTTACCATTAGAGAGGCGGTACAATTAGAGAGGGCGTTACCATTAGAGAGGCCGTTACCATTAGAGAGGGCGTTACCATTAGAGAGGGCGTTACCATTAGAGAGGGCGTTACCATTAGAGAAGACGTTACCATTAGAGAGGGCGCTACCATTAGAGAGGGCGCTACCATTAGAGAGGGCGTTACCATTAGAGAGGCCGTTACCATTAGAGAGGCCGTTACCATTAGAGAGGGCGTTACCATTAGAGAGGCCGTTACCATTAGAGATGACGTTACCATTAGAGAGGTCGTTACCATTAGAAAGGGCGTTACCACTAGAGAGGGCGTTACTATTAGAGAGGGCGTTACCTTTAGAGAGGGCGTTACCATTAGAGAGGGCGATACCATTAGAGAGGGCGTTACCATTAGAGAGGCGTTACCAATAGAGAGGGCGTTACCATTAGAGAGAGGGCGCTACCATTAGAGAGGGCGTTACCATTAGAGAGGGCGTTACCATTAGAGAGGGCGCTTACCATTAGAGAGGGCGCTACCATTAGAGAGGGCGCTACCATTAGAGAGGGCGCTACCATTAGAGAGGGCGTTACCATTAGAGAGGGCGTTACCATTAGAGAGGGCGTTACCATTAGAGAGGGCGTTACCATTAGAGAGGGCGTTACCATTAGAGACGGCGTTACCATTAGAGAGGGCGTTACCATTAGAGAGGGCGTTACCATTAGAGATGGCGTTACCATTAGAGAGGGCGCTACCATTAGAGAGGGCGTTACTATTAGAGAGGGCGTTACCATTAGAAAGGGCGTTACCATTAGAGAGGGCGTTACCATTAGAGAGGGCGTTACCATTAGAGAGGGTGTTACCATTAAAGAGGGCGTTACCATTAGAGAGGGCGTTACCATAAGAGAGGGCGTTACCATTAGAGAGGGCGTTACCATTAGAGAGGGCGTTACCATTAGAGAGGGCGTTACCATTAGAGAGGGCATTACCATTAGAGAGTGCGTTACCATTAGAGAGGCCGTTACCATTAGAAAGCCGTTACTATTAAAGAGGCCGTTACCATTAGAGAGGCGGTACAATTAGAGAGGGCGTTACCATTAGAGAGGCCGTTACCATTCGAGAGGGCGTTACCATTAGAGAGGGCGTTACCATTAGAGAGGGCGTTACCATTAGAGAAGACGTTACCATTAGAGAGGGCGCTACCATTAGAGAGGGCGCTACCATTAGAGAGGGCGTTACCATTAGAGAGGGCGCTACCATTAGAGAGGGCGCTACCATTAGAGAGGGCGCTACCATTAGAGAGGGCGCTACCATTAGAGAGGGCGTTACCATTAGAGAGGGCGTTACCATTAGAGAGGGCGTTGCCATTAGAGAGGGCGTTACCATTAGAGAGGGCGTTACTATTAGAGAGGCGTTACTATTAAAGAGGCCGTTACCATTAGAGAGGGCGTTACCATTAGAGGGCGTTACCATTACAGAGGGCGTTACCATTAGAGAGGGCGTTACCATTAGAGAGGGCGTTACCATTAGAGAGGGCGTCACCATTAGAGAGGGCGTCACCATTAGAGAGGGCGTCACCATTAAAGAGGGCGTTACCATTAGAGAGGGCGTTACCATTAGAGAGGGCGTTACCATTAGAGAGGGCGTTACCATTAGAGAGGGCGTTACCATTAGAGAGGGCGTTACCATTAAAGAGGGCGTTACCATTAGAGAGGGCGTTACCATTAGAGAGGGCGTTACCATTAGAGGGGGCGTTACCATTAGAAATTGCGTTACCATTAGAGAGGGCGTTACCATTAGAGAGGGCGTTACCATTAGAGAGGGCGTTACCATTAGAGAGGGCGTTACCATTAGAGAGGGCGTTACCATTAGAGAGGGCGTTACCATTAGAGAGGGCGTTACCATTAGAGAGGGCGTTACCATTAGAGAGGGCGTTACCATTAGAGAGGGCGTTACCATTAGAGAGGGCGTTACCATTAGAGAGGGCGTTACCATTAGAGAGGGCGTCACCATTAGAGAGGGCGTCACCATTAGAGAGGCGTCACCATTAGAGAGGGCGTTACCATGAGAAAGGGCGTTACTATTAGAGAGGGCGTTACTTTTAGAGATGGCGTTACCATTAGAGAGGGCGTCACCATTAGAGAAAGCGTTACCATTAGAGATGGCGTTACCATTAGAAAGGCCGTTACCATTAGAGAGGGCGTTACCATTAGGGAGGGCGTTACCATTAGAGAGGGCGTTACCATTAGAGAGGGTGTTACCATTAGAGAGGGCGTTACCATTAGAGAGGGCGTTACCATTAGAGAGGGCGTTATTATTAGAGAGGGCGTAACATTAGAGAGGGCGTTACCATTAGAAATTGCGTTACCATTAGAGAGGGCGTTACCATTAGAGAGGGCGTTACCATTAGAGAGGGCGTTACCATTAGAGAGGGCGTTACCATTAGAGAGGGCGTTACCATTAGAGAGGGCGTTACCATTAGAGGGGGCGTTACCATTAGAGAGGGCGTTACCATTAAAGAGGGCGCTACCATTAGAGAGGGCGTTACCATTAGAGAGGGCGTTACCATTAGAGAGGGCGTTACCATTAGAGAGGCCGTTACCATTAGAGAGGGCGTTACCATTAGAAATTGCGTTACCATTAGAGAGGGCGTTACCATGAGAAAGGGCGTTACCATTGGAGAGGGCGTTACCATTAGAGAGGGCGTTACCATTAGAGAGAGCGTTACCATTGGAGAGGCCGTTACCATTAGAGAGGGCGTTACCATTAGAGAGGGCGTTACCATTAGAGAGGGCGTTACCATTAGAGAGGGCGTCACCATTAGAGAGGCGTCACCATTAGAGAGGGCGTTACCATGAGAAAGGGCGTTACTATTAGAGAGGGCGTTACTTTTAGAGATGGCGTTACCATTAGAGAGGGCGTCACCATTAGAGAAAGCGTTACCATTAGAGATGGCGTTACCATTAGAAAGGCCGTTACCATTAGAGAGGGCGTTACCATTAGGGAGGGCGTTACCATTAGAGAGGGCGTTACCATTAGAGAGGGTGTTACCATTAGAGAGGGTGTTACCATTAGAGAGGGCGTTACCATTAGAGAGGGCGTTATTATTAGAGAGGGCGTAACATTAGAGAGGGCGTTACCATTAGAAATTGCGTTACCATTAGAGAGGGCGTTACCATTAGAGAGGGCGTTACCATTAGAGAGGGCGTTACCATTAGAGAGGGCGTTACCATTAGAGAGGGCGTTACCATTACGGAGGGCGTTACCATTAGAAGGGGCGTTACCATTAGAGAGGGCGTTACCATTAAAGAGGGCGCTACCATTAGAGAGGGCGTTACCATTAGAGAGGGCGTTACCATTAGAGAGGGCGTTACCATTAGAGAGGGCGTTACCATTAGAGAGGGCGTTACCATTAGAAATTGCGTTACCATTAGAGAGGGCGTTACCATTAGAGAGGGCGTTACCATTAGAGAGGGCGTTACCATTAGAGAGGGCGTTACCATTAGAGAGGGCGTTACCATTAGAGAGGGCGTTACCATTAGAGGGGGCGTTACCATTAGAGAGGGCGTTACCATTAAAGAGGGCGCTACCATTAGAGAGGGCGCTACCATTAGAGAGGGCGTTACCATTAGAGAGGGCGTTACTATTAGAGAGGGCGTTACCATGAGAAAGGGCGTTACCATTGGAGAGGGCGTTATCATTAGAGAGGGCGTTACCATTAGAGAGAGCGTTACCATTGGAGAGGCCGTTACCATTAGAGAGGGCGTTACCATTAGAGAGGGCGTTACCATTAGAGAGGGCGTTACCATTAGAGAGGGCGTCACCATTAGAGAGGCGTCACCATTAGAGAGGGCGTTACCATGAGAAAGGGCGTTACTATTAGAGAGGGCGTTACTTTTAGAGATGGCGTTACCATTAGAGAGGGCGTCACCATTAGAGAAAGCGTTACCATTAGAGATGGCGTCACCATTAGAAAGGCCGTTACCATTAGAGAGGGCGTTACCATTAGAGAGGGCGTTACCATTAGAGAGGGCGTTACCATTAGAGAGGGCGTTACTTTTAGAGAGGGCGTTACCATTTGAGAGGGCGTTACCATTAGAGAGGGCGTTACCATTAGAGAGGGCGTTACGATTAGAGAGGGCGTTACTATTAGAGAGGCCGTTACCATTAAAGAGGGCGTTACCATTAGAGAGTGCGTTACCATTAGAGAGGGCGTTACCATTAGAGAGAGCGTTACCATTAGAGAGGGCGTTACCATTAGAGAGGGCGTCACCATTAGAGAGGGCATTACCATTAGAGAGGGCGTCACCATAAGAGAGGGCGTCACCATTAGAGAGGCGTTACCATTAGAGAGGGCGTTACCATTAGAGAGGGCGTTACCATTAAAAGGGCGTTACCATTAGAGAGGGCGTTACCATTAAAGAGGGCGTTACCATTAGAGAGGGCGTTACCATTAGAGAGGGCGTTACCATTAGAGAGGGCGTTACCATTAGAGAGGGCGTTACCATTAGGGAGGGCGTTACCATTAGAGAGGGCGTTACCATTAGAGAGGGCGTTACCATTAGAGGGGCGTTACCATTAGAGATGGCGCTACCATTAGAGAGGGCGCTACTATTAGAGAGGGCGCTACCATTAGAGAGAGGGCGCTACCATTAGAGATGGCGTTACCATTAGAGAGGGCGCTACCATTAGAGAGGGCGCTACCATTAGAGAGGGCGCTACCATTAGAGAGGACGTTACCATTAGAGAGGACGTTACCATTAGAGAGGGCGTTACCATTAGAGAGAGCGTTACCATTAGAGAGGGCGTTACCATTAGAGAGGGCGTTACCATTAGAGAGGGCGTTACTATTAGAGAGGCCGTTACCATTAAAGAGGGCGTTACCATTAGAGAGTGCGTTACCATTAGAGAGGGCGTTACCATTAGAGAGAGCGTTACCATTAGAGAGGGCGTTACCATTAGAGAGGGCGTCACCATTAGAGAGGGCATTACCATTAGAGAGGGCGTCACCATAAGAGAGGGCGTCACCATTAGAGAGGCGTTACCATTAGAGAGGGCGTTACCATTAGAGAGGGCGTTACCATTAAAAATGGTGTTACCATTAGAGAGGGCGTTACCATTAAAGAGGGCGTTACCATTAGAGAGGGCGTTACCATTAGAGAGGGCGTTACCATTAGAAATTGCGTTACCATTAGAGAGAGCGTTACCATTAGAGAGGGCGTTACCATTAGAGAGGGCGTTACCATTAGAGAGGACGTTACTATTAGAGAGGGCGTTACTTTTAGAGATGGCGTTACCATTAGAGAGGGCGTCACCATTAGAGAAAGCGTTACCATTAGAGATGGCGTTACCATTAGAAAGGCCGTTACCATTAGAGAGGGCGTTACCATTAGGGAGGGCGTTACCATTAGAGAGGGCGTTACCATTAGAGAGGGTGTTACCATTAGAGAGGGTGTTACCATTAGAGAGGGCGTTACCATTAGAGAGGGCGTTATTATTAGAGAGGGCGTAACATTAGAGAGGGCGTTACCATTAGAAATTGCGTTACCATTAGAGAGGGCGTTACCATTAGAGAGGGCGTTACCATTAGAGAGGGCGTTACCATTAGAGAGGGCGTTACCATTAGAGAGGGCGTTACCATTACGGAGGGCGTTACCATTAGAAGGGGCGTTACCATTAGAGAGGGCGTTACCATTAAAGAGGGCGCTACCATTAGAGAGGGCGTTACCATTAGAGAGGGCGTTACCATTAGAGAGGGCGTTACCATTAGAGAGGGCGTTACCATTAGAGAGGGCGTTACCATTAGAAATTGCGTTACCATTAGAGAGGGCGTTACCATTAGAGAGGGCGTTACCATTAGAGAGGGCGTTACCATTAGAGAGGGCGTTACCATTAGAGAGGGCGTTACCATTAGAGAGGGCGTTACCATTAGAGGGGGCGTTACCATTAGAGAGGGCGTTACCATTAAAGAGGGCGCTACCATTAGAGAGGGCGCTACCATTAGAGAGGGCGTTACCATTAGAGAGGGCGTTACTATTAGAGAGGGCGTTACCATGAGAAAGGGCGTTACCATTGGAGAGGGCGTTATCATTAGAGAGGGCGTTACCATTAGAGAGAGCGTTACCATTGGAGAGGCCGTTACCATTAGAGAGGGCGTTACCATTAGAGAGGGCGTTACCATTAGAGAGGGCGTTACCATTAGAGAGGGCGTCACCATTAGAGAGGCGTCACCATTAGAGAGGGCGTTACCATGAGAAAGGGCGTTACTATTAGAGAGGGCGTTACTTTTAGAGATGGCGTTACCATTAGAGAGGGCGTCACCATTAGAGAAAGCGTTACCATTAGAGATGGCGTCACCATTAGAAAGGCCGTTACCATTAGAGAGGGCGTTACCATTAGAGAGGGCGTTACCATTAGAGAGGGCGTTACCATTAGAGAGGGCGTTACTTTTAGAGAGGGCGTTACCATTTGAGAGGGCGTTACCATTAGAGAGGGCGTTACCATTAGAGAGGGCGTTACGATTAGAGAGGGCGTTACTATTAGAGAGGCCGTTACCATTAAAGAGGGCGTTACCATTAGAGAGTGCGTTACCATTAGAGAGGGCGTTACCATTAGAGAGAGCGTTACCATTAGAGAGGGCGTTACCATTAGAGAGGGCGTCACCATTAGAGAGGGCATTACCATTAGAGAGGGCGTCACCATAAGAGAGGGCGTCACCATTAGAGAGGCGTTACCATTAGAGAGGGCGTTACCATTAGAGAGGGCGTTACCATTAAAAGGGCGTTACCATTAGAGAGGGCGTTACCATTAAAGAGGGCGTTACCATTAGAGAGGGCGTTACCATTAGAGAGGGCGTTACCATTAGAGAGGGCGTTACCATTAGAGAGGGCGTTACCATTAGGGAGGGCGTTACCATTAGAGAGGGCGTTACCATTAGAGAGGGCGTTACCATTAGAGGGGGGCGTTACCATTAGAGATGGCGCTACCATTAGAGAGGGCGCTACTATTAGAGAGGGCGCTACCATTAGAGAGAGGGCGCTACCATTAGAGATGGCGTTACCATTAGAGAGGGCGCTACCATTAGAGAGGGCGCTACCATTAGAGAGGGCGCTACCATTAGAGAGGACGTTACCATTAGAGAGGACGTTACCATTAGAGAGGGCGTTACCATTAGAGAGAGCGTTACCATTAGAGAGGGCGTTACCATTAGAGAGGGCGTTACCATTAGAGAGGGCGTTACTATTAGAGAGGCCGTTACCATTAAAGAGGGCGTTACCATTAGAGAGTGCGTTACCATTAGAGAGGGCGTTACCATTAGAGAGAGCGTTACCATTAGAGAGGGCGTTACCATTAGAGAGGGCGTCACCATTAGAGAGGGCATTACCATTAGAGAGGGCGTCACCATAAGAGAGGGCGTCACCATTAGAGAGGCGTTACCATTAGAGAGGGCGTTACCATTAGAGAGGGCGTTACCATTAAAAATGGTGTTACCATTAGAGAGGGCGTTACCATTAAAGAGGGCGTTACCATTAGAGAGGGCGTTACCATTAGAGAGGGCGTTACCATTAGAAATTGCGTTACCATTAGAGAGAGCGTTACCATTAGAGAGGGCGTTACCATTAGAGAGGGCGTTACCATTAGAGAGGACGTTACTATTAGAGAGGCCGTTACCATTAAAGAGGGCGTTACCATTAGAGAGTGCGTTACCATTAGAGAGGGCGTTACCATTAGAGAGAGCGTTACCATTAGAGAGGGCGTTACCATTAGAGAGGGCGTCACCATTAGAGAGGGCATTACCATTAGAGAGGGCGTCACCATAAGAGAGGGCGTCACCATTAGAGAGGCGTTACCATTAGAGAGGGCGTTACCATTAGAGAGGGCGTTACCATTAAAAATGGCGTTACCATTAGAGAGGGCGTTACCATTAAAGAGGGCGTTACCATTAGAGAGGGCGTTACCATTAGAGAGGGCGTTACCATTAGAGAGGGCGTTACCATTAGAGAGGGCGTTACCATTAGAGCGGGCGTTACCATTAGAAATTGCGTTACCATTAGAGAGGGCGTTACCATTAGAGAGGGCGTTACAATTAGAGAGGGCGTTACCATTAGAGAGGCCGTTACCATTAGAGAGACCGTTACCATTAGAGAGGCCGTTACCATTAGAGATGGCACCACATTAGAGAGGGCGTTACCATTAGAGAGGGCGTTCCCATTAGAGAGGGCGTTACTATTAGAGAGCGAATTACCATGAGAAAGGGCGTTACCATTGGAGAGGGCGTTACCATTAGAGAGGGCGTTACCATTAGAGAGAGCGTTACCATTGGAGAGGCCGTTACCATTAGAGAGGGCGTTACCATTAGAGAGGGCGTTACCATTAGAGAGGGCGTTACCATTAGAGAGGGCGTCACCATTAGAGAGGCGTCACCATTAGAGAGGGCGTTACCATGAGAAAGGGCGTTACTATTAGAGAGGGCGTTACTTTTAGAGATGGCGTTACCATTAGAGAGGGCGTCACCATTAGAGAAAGCGTTACCATTAGAGATGGCGTTACCATTAGAAAGGCCGTTACCATTAGAGAGGGCGTTACCATTAGGGAGGGCGTTACCATTAGAGAGGGCGTTACCATTAGAGAGGGCGTTACCATTAGAGAGGGCGTTACCATTAGAGAGGGCGTTACCATTAGAGAGGGCGTTACCATTAGAGAGGGCGTTACCATTAGAGAGGGCGTTTACCATTAGAGAGGGCGTTACCATTAGAGAGGCCGTTACCATTAGAGAGGGCGCGTTACCATTAGAGAGTGCGTTACCATTAGAGAGGGCGTTACCATTAGAGAGAGCGTTACCATTAGAGAGGGCGTTACCATTAGAGAGGGCGTTACCATTAGAGAGGGCGTTACCATTAGAGAGGGCGTTACCATTAGAGAGGGCGTTACCATTAGAGAGGGCGTTACCATTAGAGAGGGCGTTACCATTAGAGAGGGCGTTACCATTAAGAGGGCGTTACCATTAGAGAGGCGTTACCATTAGAGAGGGCGGTTACCATTAGAGAGGGCGTTACCATTAGAGAGGGCGTTACCATTAGAGAGGGCGTTACCATTAGAGAGGGCGTTACCATTAGAGAGGGCGTTACCATTAGAGAGGGCGTTACCATTAGAGAGGGCGTTACCATTAGAGAGGGCGTTACCATTAGAGAGGGCGTTACATTAGAGAGGCGTTACCATTAGAGAGGGCGTTACCATTAGAAAGGGCGTTACCATTAGAGAGGGCGTTACCATTAGAGAGGGCGTTACCATTAGAGAGGGCGTTACCATTAGAGAGGGCGTTACCATTAGAGAGGGCGTTACCATTAGAAATTGCGTTACCATTAGAGAGGGCGTTACCATTAGAGAGGGCGTTACCATTAGAGAGGGCGTTACCATTAGAGAGGGCGTTACCATTAGAGAGGGCGTTACCATTAGAGAGGGCGTTACCATTAGAGAGAGCGCACATTAGAGAGGGCGTTACCATTGAGAGAGGGCGCTACCATTAGAGATGGCGTTACCATTAGAGAGGGCGTTACCATTAGAGAGGGCGTTACTATTAGAGAGGCCGTTACCATTAAAGAGGGCGTACCATTAGAGGAGTGCGTTACCATTAGATGAGGGCGTTACCATTAGAGAGAGCGTTACCATTAGAGAGGGCGTTTACCATTAGAAAGGCCGTTACCATTAGAGAGGGCGTTACCATTAGGGAGGGCGTTACCATTAGAGAGGGCGTTACCATTAGAGAGGGCGTTATCATTATGAGAGGGCGTTACCATTAGAGAGGGCGTTACCATTAGAGAGGGCGTTACCATTAGAGAGGGCGTTACCATTAGAGATGGCGCTTACCATTAGAGAGGGCGCTACTATTAGAGAGGGCGCTACCATTAGAGAGAGGGCGCTACCATTAGAGATGCGTTACCATTAGAGAGGGCGTTGTACCATTAGAGAGGGCGTTACTATTAGAGAGGCCGTTACCATTAAAGGAGGGCGTTACCATAGAGTGCGTTACCAATTAGAGAGGGCGTGTACCCATTAGAGAGAGCGTTACCATTAGAGAGGGCGTTACCATTAGAAAGGCGTTACCATTAGAGAGGGCGTTACCATTAGGGAGGGCGTTACCATTAGAGAGGGCGTTTACCATTAGAGAGGGCGTTACCATTAGAAAGGGCGTTACCATTAGAGAGGGCGTTACCATTTGAGAGGGCGTTACCATTAGAGAGGGCGTTACCATTAGAGAGGGCGTTACCATTAGAGAGGGCGTTACTATTAGAGAGGGCCGTTACCATTAAAGAGGGCGTTACCATTAGAGAGTGCGTTACCATTAGAGAGGGCGTTACCATTAGAGAGAGCGTTACCATTAGAGAGGGCGGTTACCATTAGAGAGGGCGTCACCATTAGAGAGGGCATTACCATTAGAGAGGGCGTCACCATAAGAGAGGGCGTCACATTAGAGAGGCGTTACCATTAGAGAGGGCGTTACCATTAGAGAGGGCGTTACCATTAAAAAGGGCGTTACCATAAGAGAGGGCGTTACCATAAAGAGGGCGTTACCATTAGAGAGGGCGTTACCATTAGAGAGGGCGTTACCATTAGAGAGGGCGTTATTATTAGAGAGGGCGTTACCGTAGAGCGGGCGTTACCATTAGAAATTGCGTTACCATTAGAGGAGGGCGTTACCATTAGAGAGGGCGTTACAATTACAGAGGGCGTTACCATTAGAGAGGCCCGTTACCATTAGAGAGACCGTTACCATTAGAGAGGCCGTTACCATTAGAGATGGCATTACCATTAGAGAGGGCGTTACCATTAGAGAGGGCGTTACCATTAGAGAGGGCATTACCATTAGAGAGGCCGTTATCATTAGAGAGGTCGTTACCATTAGAGAGGCCGTTACCATTAGAGAGGGCGTTACCATTAAAAATGCCGTTACCATTAGAGAGGGCGTTACCATTAAAAATGCCGTTACCATTAGAGAGGGCTTTACCATTAGAGAGGGCATAGAAAATTGCGTTACCATTAGAGAGGGCGTTACCATTAGAATTGGAGGGCGTTACCATTAGAGCGGGCGTTACCATTAGAGAGGGCGTTACCATTAGAGAGGGCGTTACCATTAGAGAGGGCGTTACCATTAGGGAGGGCGTTACCATTAGAGAGGGCGTTACTATTAGAGAGGGCGTTACCATTAGAGAGGGCGTTACCATTAGAGATGGCGCTACCATTAGAGAGGGCGCTACTATTAGAGAGGGCGCTACCATTAGAGAGAGGGCGCTACCATTAGAGATTGCGTTACCATTAGAGAGGGCGCTACCATTAGAGAGGGCGCTACCATTAGAGAGGGCGCTACCATTAGAGAGGGCGCTACCATTAGAGAGGACGTTACCATTAGAGAGGACGTTACCATTAGAGAGGGCGTTACCATTAGAGAGAGCGTTACCATTAGAGAGGGCGTTTCCATTAGAGAGGGCGTTACCATTAGAGAGGGCGTTACTATTAGAGAGGCCGTTACCATTAAAGAGGGCGTTACCATTAGAGAGTGCGTTACCATTAGAGAGGGCGTTACCATTAGAGAGAGCGTTACCATTAGAGAGGGCGTTACCATTAGAGAGGGCGTCACCATTAGAGAGGGCATTACCATTAGAGAGGGCGTCACCATAAGAGAGGGCGTCACCATTAGAGAGGCGTTACCATTAGAGAGGGCGTTACCATTAGAGAGGGCGTTACCATTAAAAATGGCGTTACCATTAGAGAGGGCGTTACCATTAAAGAGGGCGTTACCATTAGAGAGGGCGTTACTATTAGAGAGGGCGTTACCATTAGAGAGGGCGTACCATTAGAGAGGGCGTTACCATTAGAGCGGGGCGTTACCATTAGAAATTGCGTTACCATTAGAGAGGGCGTTACCATTAGAGAGGGCGTTACAATTAGAGAGGGCGTTACCATTAGAGAGGCCGTTACCATTAGAGAGACCGTTACCATTAGAGAGGCCGTTACCATTAGAGATGGCATTACCATTAGAGAGGGCGTTACCATTAGAGAGGGCGTTCCCATTAGAGAGGGCGTTACCATTAGAGAGCGCGTTACCATTAGAGAGGGCGTTACCATTAGAGAGGGCGTTACCATTAGAGAGGGCGTTACCATTAGAGAGGGCGTTACCATTAGAGAGAGGCCGTTACCATTAGAGAGGGCGTTACCATTAGAGAGGGCGTTACCATTAGAGAGGGCGTTACCATTAGAGAGGGCGCACCATTAGAGAGGCGTTACCATTAGAGAGGGCGTTACCATTAGAGAGGGCGTTACCATTAGAGAGGGCGTTACCATTAGAGAGGGCGTTACCATTAGAGAGGGCGTTACCATTAGAGAAAGCGTTACCATTAGAGAGGGCGTTACCATTAGAGAGGCGTTACCATTAGAGAGGGCGTTACCATTAGGGAGGGCGTTACCATTAGAGAGGGCGTTACCATTAGAGAGGGCGTTACCATTAGAGAGGGCGTTACCATTAGAGAGGGCGTTACCATTAGAGAGGGCGTTACCATTAGAGAGGGCGTTACCATTAGAGAGGGCGTTACGATTAGAGAGGGCGTTACCATTAGAGAGGGCGTTACCATTAAGAGGGCGTTACCATTAGAGAGGGCGTTACCATTAGAGAGGGCGTTACCATTAGAGAGGGCGTTACCATTAGAGAGGGCGTTACCATTAGAGAGGGCGTTACCATTAGAGAGGGCGTTACCATTAGAGAGGCGTTACCATAAGAGAGGCGTTACCATTAGAGAGGGCGTTACCATTAGAGAGGGCGTTACCATTAGAGAGGGCGTTACCATTAGAGAGGGCGTTACCATTAGAGAGGGCGTTACCATTAGAGAGGGCGTTACCATTAGAGAGGGCGTTACCATTAGAGAGGGCGTTACCATTAGAGAGGGCGTTACCATTAGAAAGGGCGTTACCATTAGAGAGGGCGTTACCATTAGAGAGGGCGTTACCATTAGAGAGGGGTTACCATTAGAGAGGGCGTTACCATTAGAGAGGGCGTTACCATTAGAGAGGGCGTTACCATTAGAGAGGGCGTTACCATTAGAGAGGGCGTTACCATTAGAGAGGGCGTTACCATTAGAGAGGGAGGGCGTTACTATTAGAGAGGCGTTACCATGAGAGAGGGCGTTACCATTAGAGAGGGCGTTACCATTTAGAGAGGGCGTTACCATTAGAGAGAGCGTTACCATTAGAGAGGCCGTTACCATTAGAGGAGGGCGTTACCATTAGAGAGGGGCGTTACCATTAGAGAGGGCGTTACCATTAGAGAGGGCGTTACCATTAGAGAGGCGTCACCATTAGAGAGGGCGTTACCATTAGAAAGGGCGTTACCATTAGAGAGGGCGTTACTTTTAGAGATGGCGTTACCATTAGAGAGGGCGTCACCATTAGAGAAAGCGTTACCATTAGAGAGGGCGTTACCATTAGAGAGGCCGTTACCATTAGAGAGGGCGTTACCATTAGAGAGGGCGTTACCATTAGAGAGGGCGTTACCATTAGAGAGGGCGCGTTACATTAGAGAGGGCGTTACCATTAGAGAGGGCGTTACCATTAGAGAGGGCGTTACCATTAGAGAGGGCGTTACATTAGAGAGGGCGTTACCATTAGAGAGGGCGTTACCATTAGAGAGGGCGTTACCATTAAGAGGCGTTACCATTAGAGAGAGGGCGTTACCATTAGAGAGGGCGTTACCATTAGAGAGGCGTTACATTAGAGAGGGCGTTACCATTAGAGAGGGCGTTACCGTAGAGGGGCGTTACCATTAGAGAGGGCGTTACCATTAGAGAGGGCGTTACCATTAGAGAGGGCGTTACCATTAGAGAGGCGTTACCATTAGAGAGGGCGTTACCATTAGAGAGGGCGTTACCATTAAGAGGGGCGTTAGTACATTAGAGAGGGCGTTACCATTAGAGAGGGCGTTACCATTAGAGAGGGCGTTACCATTAGAGAGGGCGTTACCATTAGAGAGGGCGTTACCATTAGAGAGGGCGTTACCATTAGAGAGGGCGTTACCATTAGAGAGGGCGTTACCATTAGAGAGGGCGTCGTTACATTAGAGAGGGCGTTACCATTAGAGAGGGCGTACCATTAGAGAGGCCGTTACCATTAGAGAGGGCGTTACCATTAAAAAGGGCGTTACCATTAGAGAGGGCGTTACCATTAGAGAGGGCGTTACCATTAGAGAGGGCGTTACCATTAGAGAGGGCGTTACCATTAGAGAGGGCGTTACCATTAGAGAGGGCGTTACCATTAGAGAGGGCGTTACCATTAGAAATTGCGTTACCATTAGAGGGGAGGGCGTTACCATTAGAGAGGGCGTTACCATTAGAGAGGGCGTTACCATTAGAGAGGGCGTTACCATTAGAGAGATGGCGTTACCATTAGAGAGGGCGTTACCATTAGAGAGGGCGTACCATTAGAGAGAGGGCGTTACCATTAGAGAGGGCGTTACCATTAGAGAGGGCCGTTACCATTAGAGAGGGCG